GTGCTGGGTGCTTCATCTCGCTTCGGCCTGAGAGCAGTGCCGCCAGGGCAAGTGGCAGAGTAGAGACTCGGACGCCAAGGCTGCTGGGGACTGAACGTGGCGGTCAGAGAGCCTGGCCTCTCGGGATGAGACACAGGTTCAAAGTCCAACTCCGCCACTTACCCGCTTCCCACTCTAGGCGAGCCCTCATTTCGTGACCTTGACCAACAGCATCCTATTGTTTGATTTCCGGAGCATCCCTTTCCAGACTGGACCTCTGCTCTCCTTTACAGACGAGGAAGCCCAGGCCCGGGGAGGCGGAGGGGCTTGCCTGCAGTCACTCGGCCCGCAAGGGACACAGGTGGGATCTGGGCCCTGGTTTGCTGATGCTGCATCACACAGAGGGGTGCTAAGGTAGTTCCCCTACAAACTCCAGAACACACCATGTTTCTTCCCACCCCCAAACCTTCGTGCATGCGTGCCCCTGCCGAGACCGCCCCCGCCCCCCCAATTAGCCCATCCAAACTCACATCCATCCCTCCGGGCTGGGCTCAAGCCAGCACCTCCTCCCAGACACCCGGACACCTTCCTGGGCCTCTTCTCCAGCACCTCACTCTGCGTCCTATCACTTCCTGGCCCAGGATCACAGGTCCCACCTCCCTACAGAGATCAGAAGCTTCCTGAGGGTGGCCTCTGGGACTCGGATTCCTTCCCCACCTTCATGGTTCTTCACTCAGCAGAGTGGCCTACTCGAAAGTGGCCCACTACCTGTTAGGAACTAGATCAGATCTGGGTTCAAATACTAGCTTTGCCCCTTGCTGCTGTGTGCCCTGGGGCAAGTTACTTAACCTCTCTGAGCCTCTGTTTTTTCCACCTGTACAGGAAGATGATCATACCTACAGCAGGCGTTGTCAGCACCCTGCCCAACACTCAAGCACATGCCAGTGGCAAGTGTCCTACCGTGTGAGGGTTTTCTTGGAACCATTGAACATGGTGCCAGCCAGGATGGAAGAGTCTGAATGTTAATAACCCAGAAACAGTGCCAGGCAAGGACAGAGGGAATTGGAAAATACAAACTCCAGGTCCCTTGCTCCTTGGATAGGACCACTCGAGAGATGTTCAATGCTGCCTCCCAGGGGTCCCCAGTGAGACTGAGCCCAGCTGCCGCAGTGGCCCCCGTATCACCTGCCTCATTGCTCTGCTGCCGGCCTGTAGAGGACACTTTGTCTGGGAACGGTTTCTTGTTGTTTTTCTCAGAATATGCCTTGGCCTTGCACGCAAGTCCAGGGTGCCCTAACCCTGCAAACAGGAGGGGCTAGAGAGTTTAGGATGAAAACATCTGCTCGCCGGAGACGAAACAACAAGGAACAGGGACGTGTTGAGTCGGGACAGTGTGGGAACAAAGAAATTGTGGTGGGACAGTTGCCAAACAGGCTGTGTTATAAATAAAGCAACTACAGCAAGAGCTTTTGCTGCAGTCTTATACCGTCTTTGCGTGTCTGTGTCTCTTTGTAGTGGTCGCAGTCGTGTACCGTCTTTGTGTGTGTCTGTGTCTCTTTGTCTCTGTGTTCATTCCTCGGCCCCAAGAAACGGGACACGTCATGGCCAGTTCTTCCCGGAATCACCCCTTAAAAATCCACCTGCAACGATCTGCCTCTGCGGGAACCAAACCATGACGACCCCTCTATTATATAACAAGGAACACGACACAACAGAGTGGTATACAGAAGGAGCTCAATGAAGCTATCGTTGATACCCATCATCACCGTCATTCTAGGCACCAGAGGTGTGAAGCTGGTGGCCCCGGGGCTGTCTGCACAGCACAGTTCAATACGCCGCCCTCAGTTCCTAAGTGGGGGGTCCCCCTAAAAGTCTGGATTCTACGATTTTGTGATACACGAGGTCCGCCATCTCAGGGCCACATTCTCCTGTGTCAGGAGCCAGACGGAACCGCACAGCTGCCCCCTTCAGAAAGGGCCACAGCCCTACGACTCCCTGCAGTCTCACACCCGGCCTGACCCCACTCGCGTGTGCACCCACGGGGCCCACGTGAGAGCTGGGTTCGAGACCCCTGCCACAGATGTTTACTCAACGTTTGATGAAATTAAAAGAGCCATCGTACTCACCCTGTGACCGTCTCGAGTCCCTGACTCCCGCCAGCAGGGCCCGGTTTGGGCCTCCGAACTGCCCCCAGGGAGCTCCCTCCGCCTCTCCCTGGCTTCGTGCATGACGGACAGGCCCTCGCGGATGGTGGCAGGGGGCCCCTTCTCCGAACAGGCCCTCTTGACATCCGGCGGCGACCTTGCGTAGTCACGTGGGTGGTCACCCCACTGGGCCACGTTGCTCTCCTCCCCCCACTCCATGGATCTCCTCAGGCTCCCTTTCTTCCAGTCGGTGGGGGTCGATTTGGGTGGCCCTCTGACCCTACCGCCCAGATCCTCGCGACCAAAGGGCTTTGCCTCAGCCGGGTAATTCTGACACTTTGCACCATGATGTTTACCGGCAAAGGCCTTTTGGTCGTCCTCAGCAATTCCCGAGACTTTTCTCTTGGGGCCTGCGGGGACGGCAGAGTCCCCTGCATACCTCTCCGAAGGAGCTGCGTTTGGCAGAGCCCACAGAGGAGGGCTGGATTTGGTGTTCGGGGCTGGCCCCGGGGTCTCTGCCGGCTGCTTGCCTGAGCCGGGAGGGGAGTTGTGCCTTGTTTCGGCCAAGCTGGCTTGTTTCCGGAGACCCTCGGCTTCGGGTCCCTCCTTCGGGCTCCTCTTCCTCAGTTCCACCCTGCCCGGCTGGCCGGGCCTCTCCCAAGGCGAGGTGCTGGGCTCCCAAGTCCGGCTCTCCTTCCGCCCCTGAGCCTCGCCGGGGACTCTGGTTGACAGCTCCTGGTACTCCGCCATCAGGGTGTCAATGTCCAGGACGCTGGATCTGTAGCCATCTCTGATCTTACCTGGGAACGTCTCACTGATCACCTCAGTCCTCCTCCTGACGAGGAGCTCTTTCGGACGACTCTTAAAAGTCAGGGTAGTTTGGGGAGCACTGTTGCTGGGGGACATCTTGCTGCCCCTATCCTTCCAGTCGTTCTGAAAACCAGTGCCATCTTCTGATGCCCGATGACGCCATAGAGCGTCCACGTCAATGACTTTTTCACTAGAAGGTTCCAGAATCCTGTCCCCAGTTAATAAGGGAGAGTCTGTCAGCTTCAGGGTGTTTGAAATGCTTACATTTTCGTGCTCTCTTCCCTTAGTCCAGCTTTTACCGCCCACCGTCTCCAGTGGCTCTTCACGCTTAAGAGAAATCAAAGTGGGTGCGAAAGAATGAGGAGATGGAGGTGGAGTGATTTTTCTAGAACGTTCCAGCAAGTTGTCAAGCCCTGACATAACAACACCCTTTGCCTTTTGAGTATCAGGAATCTGATAAGTTACCGCAAAAAACGTTGCCTTGGGTTCCACAGGCGACCCTTGCTTCGCCACTAAGAAAGTCCGGTCCAGGGAAGCACCTGGGTTCACCTCCCGGGTCTCCGCCCTATTGTGGAAAAGTGGAGGTTTTTTTAAGGCACTGGCTGTGGGGGTCAGATCATCAGTCTGTCTCTCCTCCACCTTCGACGAGTTCTTTGGGGTGAGGAAGCTGAATGCATCAAATTTCACGTCGTGGGGCAAAGTCCGCCGCCTCCACCTGTCCGTTCTCTGCTCCGTGGGTCCGGCCTTCCGCATCTTGGCTTCAGGCCCCGGCCCCTGGGCCAGCCTTGGATCCCCGTCGCTGGCAGCCGCAGTGAGGGGCCCTTTCTGCCCAGAAAACGTGTCTGGATGTGCTTGTGTTAGGGAATCAGGGGGCTCAGCCTCAGCCCTGGAAGGAGGATGCAGGGGGCCCCCGTGGGAGGGACCCCTTGCTTCCGCTCCTGGCTTGTGTCCAGCCGCTCCAGGCCCCTCGTGCTGGGACACCCAGACGGCAGCCTTGACGGACCTCACAGAGGCGGCCCCAGGAGCACAGGGCTCTTCGCTGACCACCATGGTGGCTTTGGCTTTATGCCAGCTCCCTGCCACCCCACCTGTCCACCTAGGTGACGGGCAATTGTCCCCCGTCACATCCTTCTGCTCTCGAAAATCGAGCTTTGGCCCACTGGCCGCCTCCTGCGTCCCTCGAGCGTCCCAAATCAAACTGGCCCGTTGGACGGCCCCCACCTGAGCTTCCAGACCACACTGCGGGTCAGCCGGGGTGACCTCCTGGGACGGCTGCCTCCCCTTCAGCGAGGGCCGAGACCTGCCGCCTCGGAGCGTCACCACTTTCTCCTCTGGCGCTGTAGAGATGGCCTCACTGTGCGCACGCTCCCTCACTGTGTGCATGATGTCGTACCTGGGCTCGATCCTCTGGGATGTGGGGGCATTTTCCAAGTGCTTTAGCAAAGGGCTACTATTGCGTTTTTCACCCAAAGGGTATTTTTCCCGCAGAGGCGTGTGACACTGTCTTGGCTCGCCGTTCAAAAGGGCGGTTTGTCCCGATCTCTCTGTCTTAGGATTGTCAAACCCCCTCGCGTTCTCTTTCTTGAGCTTTGTCACTTCCAGCGGGTCCTTCCCCAGCCAAGAGCCTTTGTCGGGCCTGGGCCTGGGTTCTGGGACATGTGCATCGGACATGTCAGCGGGGGACGTGGTCAAGAGACAGCGTCCCGTCAGGTCAGACACAATGTGTTTCTCTACGTGATGCTCAAACACCGTGGCCCACACGGTCTGGAAGCTTCCCTCATCTTCTGGAGTGACGTCAGGAGTTCCCACCGAGCTCTCGCCCCAAGAGTTGTCAGGGTCTTGGTTAGAACTATCTTTCCGCTCCGTCTGCCTGGACTTCTCCCGGAGCGTCCCAGGCTTCCAGGGACTTCTTGGAGCAGATGCTTCCACCAAACCATGCCCCTCCTTTTGCTGGAAAAAAGAAACAATTCAACATTACAGGATTGAAAATGGAAAGGAAGAGGGGAGGGGATTGATATGGATTGAAATGGCTGCTTATATAATTAAAGCAATGAAATACCATAAAATTTTAAAGACTGAACACACCCGGTGTGGGTGAGGATGTGGGGAAATGACACTCAGATACTGTTGGGAGGAACATAAATGTGGGACACTTTGGGACAATGTGGAACACCTATCATGATTTTAAAATACTCATTTCCTTTTACCTAGCCAAGTTCCTTCCAGAACTCTTTCTGTGCCCATGTGCCCAAGTCTACATGAGTGAGAAAGTTCAGGCAGCACTGTCTGTGAAAGCAAAAGAACACAGCAACAACCTGAAGGCCCGTCACAAGGGCACTAGCTGAGTAAATTTTGATCTACCCGAACAGTGCAGTATGCACACGCATTTGCACCCACAGGAGGAGGTGATGTCAGGACATCTAAGGACACTCACAAAACATTGTCTTGCAGGGAGAAGAGCAGACAACAGAATAACGTATAATAATACATGTCTACATGTATGACAATACATGTATATGTATGTATGTACACACATACCCGGACACACGGAGATAAACTGTCTGAAGAAAAGATACGAATCAAACTGTGAGCCCGGGAAGTGGGATGTGAGGATGGGAGGAAAGAATGAAGAAGGGAACATCTTCCTTTACTCTCACACCCTTTGGTTCTATTTGATTTTCATAATATGCATATATTACTTAACAATTTTTAAAAAATCTTTTGTTGTGTTAGAAATCAGTCTACTTCAACAAGTTAAATATAGAATTGCCGTATGACCCACCAATTCCCCTGCGGGGTATATACCTAAAAGAACTGAAAACAGGTGTTCAAACTACAGCTCGTGCATAGCAGCAATATTCACAATCACCGAAAGGCGGAAACAACCCGAATGTGTGATGATGGATGAGCAGACACGCATAACATGGTACACAGCCATGCACGGAATACTATTCAGCCATCAAAAGGAACGAAGTCCTAATTCATGCTACAATGTGGACGAACTTTGAAAACATTATGCTACATGAAAGCAGCCAGACACAAAAGGCTTCATGTTGCATGGCTCCTTTTACATGGAAGATCTAGAACAGGTGAATCCACAGAGACAGAAAGATTAGCGGTTGCCAGGGGCTGGGAATAGGGGATGGGGAGAGACTGGATACAGGGTTTCTGTTTGGGCTGATAAAAAAATTGTGGACCTAGATAGTGGGGACGGTTACACAACACTGAGAAAGCACTAACGCCATCAATTGTACACTTTAACGTGGTTATAACACGGGCAGGGCCAGTCCGCTGACTCTTACCCTAGGTGATGGAATGCCGTTGAAGAATTCTAAACACGTATTGCTTTCAAACTTTTTCATATTTTATTATGTAAATTTTACATAAGTTATATATGGATCCATTCTCATTGTAAAGGAATCTAAACAACACAGACAAAGCTCAAATTCTTTTTACTCCCTCATTCGAACACTGGTCCCCTTTCTGGATAACATTATCAATGGGTTATAAACCTCAAAGAGCCTTCCTTTTTTCTTGTATTAGTTATATATAAAAGCGCACATGTATTTTTTTATATTAGAAAAACATAGCTTGT